GGGTGTGTGGAGATGCTGTCGGGAGGGCGGTTGCATTTTCTGCAACCCCCCTCTAGGTTGCCACCCTTGGCCGTGAGTGTGCGGGCCCTGACCACGAGGTCCGTCACCGTCCCGCCCGGGTCTCAGATCTTGCTACCCCTCAGGCTGCGCAGTCCATTGAAATTGGAGTCCCCGGGGACAGGTATCCTCCTGTCTCCCTCCAATTATTTCTCGAGGTCTGACGGGTTGGTGGGCGCCTTGACGGCCGTGTCGGCGGGCCGGGATCCCTTTTTGCAGGTCCTGAATTTGGGGCCCTTGCCAGTCGTTGTCCCGGTGGGTGCGGTGTTGGCGCACGTTATCCCGGGTCCTCCGACTGACGGCACTAGGCCTCCGGGAAGGGTTGTGGCAGGCGTGCTGCCCATAGGGGGGATCGAAGCATGATGGATCGATGCGTTGTGCAACGAGAATGTCTCGTTGTCCTCCACAGAGCGCCAGCGGCTCCGCGATCTCATCATCAGGTTCACCAATGTGTTTAGCCAGAGTAAATTCGATCTAGGATGTACCACTCTCCTGGAACATCACATTGATACGGGCGATTCGGCCCCTATTCGGCTAAATTCACACCGCTTTAGCCCGGCGGAAAAGGATCATGTCCGCTCCATGGGGTGCCACCATTGTGCTGGTCAAGAAACGGGACGGGAGCTCTGTTTCTGCGTCGACTTCCGTAAATTGAACAAGATCTCGGTGGCTGATGCATATCCATTGCCTCGCATGGATGATTCCCTCGACGCTCTCTCGGGTGCGTGGTTCTTTTCGACCCTAGATTTGCTCTCGGGCTTTTAGCAGTTGCCGCTTGACGAGGCCTCCAGACCTAAGACCGCGTTCCACACACCCCAGGGGTTGTTTCAATTCAATCGGCTTCCTATGGGTCTCCATTCGGCCCCGGCCACCTTCCAGCGTCTCATGGAGATGGTCTTGGCGGGGCTGCAGTGGAAATCTTGTCTAATCTACTTGGACGACGCGATTGTTTTTGGCTGCACATTTGATGAGCACTTGCTTCGTCTGGAGGCAGTGTTCGCCAAGGTGCGTGCCGTGGGCTTGAAGTTCAAACTCCAGAAGTGTCATTTGTTGCAGCCATCGGTGAAGTATTTGGGACACATTGTGAGTGCGTCAGGTGTGGCCACGGATCCGGAAAAGACTGCTTGTGTTCGGACGTGGCCGACTCCCACATCTGTCGCTGAGGTGCGTAGTTTTGTTGGCTTCGCATCATATTATCGCCGGTTCGTCCGCGACTTTGCGACTATTGCGAAACCACTGCACGCTCTCTCCGCCAAGGGTCAGAAATTTTGCTGGGGGACGGAGGAGGAGGCTGCTTTTCGGGGTGCTTCGGAGGGCCTTGGCGGGTGCACCGCCTTTGGGGTACCCAGATTTCTCTAGGCCGTTCCTCCTCGACACCGATGCCAGCGACACGGGCATTGGGGCTGTTCTCGCCTTGGTGATCGATGGGGTTGAAAGGGTAGTGGCCTACGGTAGCCGGGTACTGTCTCCCACTTAGCAGCGGTATTGCTTGACCAGGAGGGAGCTGCTGGCTATTGTTTTTTTTATCCAGCTCTACCGGCCGTATTTGTATGGTCGCTAGTTCACCGTCAGGACTGACTATGCGGCCTTCCAGTATTCCCTGCGGATTGACCAACCCTCGGGCGAGATGTCCCGCTGGCTCGAGGTGCTCCAGGAGTACCCCTTCGATGTCATCCATAGGAAGGGGACTTGGCATGGGAATGCGGATGGCCTTTCCAGGCTGCCCCCGGATGGCAGGTGCGCTTGTGCCCTGGGTTCCAGCCACTGTAAGGCCCCGGTGGACACCACGGCCCAGTTGATCGCAGCGGCCGAAGCAGCTTCCCCTCCGGGTGTGGCATTGCCTGTGGATTTTGGTCTGGGGCTCCCCCGAGAGGTATGGTCTAAGTTGCAGATGGAGGATTCCTCTCTGCTGAGGCTGTGAAGCTGTGAGGACTCGAAGACCCGGAGCTCCGCTCCGTCGGCTGCCCCGGTGATCGCCTACATGACGGCCTCCTCATGCGTTGGGATACCCAGTTGGAACGCTATTGTATGGTTGTCCCCATTGGCTTGCGAGGTAAGTTGACCAGGGCAATTCACAAGAAACTTATGCACCTCGGCTACCATAAGACCTTGTTAACCCTTAAACGGGACTACTATTGGCCGGGTGTGGAGGATGATGTGGCCCTCATTTTGAAAGGTTGTCATGACTGCACGCGGAGAAAGGCCCCAGTAGGTCAAAATCGGGCCCCGCTGCAGTCCATCCGGGTTTCTGGTGTGGATGAGCTTGTGGCACTCGACATTTTGGGGCCATTTCCTGCATCCCAATGGGGCCACAGGTACCTCTTGGTGGGGGGGGGGGGGAGTACCTCACGCATTGGCCTATGGCGTGGCCTCTGATGGACCAATCGGCCTCGTCCATCACTGAGGCATTCGTTCAGGGGTATGTTCTTGATAAGGGGGCGCCAGAACAGCTCTTGACTGATCAGGGGCGGAATTTCTCTTCTCGTTTGCTCAAGAAGGTCTGTCACCTCCTTGGGACGAAGAAGGTCCGCACCTCGCCCTACCACCCCCAGTCCGACGGGATGGTAGAGCGACTGAACTGTATGCTCACTTCTATGCTGTGCCATCACGTGAACGCATCCCAATCAGACTGGGACCTGTTCATCCCGGGGGTGCTGGCCACGTACAGGTTGGCTCCTCATGCCTCAACGGGGTTCTCCCCATTTTATCTCATGTACGGGAGGGAACTCGAGCCCCCGATGCATGTCCAGTTGGACCTGGGGCTTTCCAGGAAGGGCTCGCCTGTCCCTGCAACCATGAGGGTCGTGCTCGATCAGCTGCGCGAGGCGCAGCAAGCGGCGATGGAGAATTCGACCAGCCGGCAGGCAGCTACCGAGCGCCTGCTCAAACACGAGGCTGCTGGCCTTCCGTGGGAAAGCGGCCAGTTGGCATGGCTGCACTGCCCCCAAGTGCCTGTTGGCATGTCCCCAAAGTTGCATCGCCCTTGGTGGGGTCCCGTCGAGGTGGTGGAGGTTCTTTGGCCACAGTGTGTGCGTATTAGGTTGGGTCGCCACCGGTGGATCGTTCACCCGTCTAGGCTCAAGTGGGTTGTACCGCCGGGCCTCCCGGGTTCATCCCCACTTTTGGAGCGGCCGCCGATCGATGCGTACGACAAGCCGGGCCGGATGGGTTCTGAGGACGAGGGCGTTGCCATTCCCGTGCGTGCGCCCGCAGAGCCCCCGCAGGTGAAGCGGCGGTGTCGGGCCATACGGGAGGGGTGCCTGCTACGGACCTGGGTCCGGCGGGCGATCCGCCTGTTCCGACGGCCAAGGCCGCACGGGGTAGCGGCCTGCCCGCGGATGCGTCGCCGGTGCCCCCACCAACGGCGCCACCAGGGGCGCCTGCACCGGCGGATGGGCCAGCGGCTCACACACGCTGGAGGGGCCGGCGTATCCACTGACGGCCGGGTGTCTGTTGTGTCCGCCGAGCCGGGCCGCACGAGTTGGGATGGCGCGAGCGATGCCATGCCCTTGTGTGCGCCTGCGGAAGCCCCGCCAGTGATCCCACCAGTGGCACCTCACCTGGCGGATTGGCCGAAGGACTGGACACCTGCCAGCACACCGCCGATTCTGACGCCTATGTGGCACGGAAGAGAGGGCCGGCATCACGCACACGCTCGCGGGGCGTGCGGATACGGCGACGGCCAGTGGGGCCGTTTCTTCGTCCCCTGCCTTCATCAGACACGTTCCAGTGTCCCGTGGGGGGACCATCTCCAAGTTGCCCTGTACTGTGCTGCCCCAGTGTTCGGTTGTGTTCTAGCAGCCGGTCCTGTTCTCTTCACACATGCACTTGCACTCTTTTGATGTAGTTGTCATCCCATTCGGGTTGTCGGGCTCTGCTCTCGTAATGGTTGCAGCCGGGTCGGCTGGGTTTTTTTCACGGGGGGGGGGGGGGGTGATGTAGAGTAGTAGTTAGTGATGTCATGTCACGCTCGCCCTCTGGTACGATGACGTCATGGATGGTGACGTCATGCACAGGGGGCGGGACGGTGACGTGGTGTCCCCCTGGGGAATTTAAGCTGGAACCCGTCACGTGTTGGGGGCTCGTGGGGAGAGTCTGGAAACGTGAAGGGTGAAAGTCGGGACCCAGGGTAGGGGGAAATTGGCACCAGGCTAGGGTAGGCTGTGGGTGTGCTAGGGACCTCCCCAGTACCCTTCCCCTGGGGTGTGGATTGTAGGCAGTGGGTGGGCAGCACACGGAGTCGTATGCGAGAGAGGTCTTTAATAAAACAACTGGCGTAAGCCCCTAATAAACGTGGTGCAAGCCCCTACACGAAGACCCGCCTCCGAGTCGTCATTTACACCGCAACACCATTTGCGAATAATCGCACCAACTGTTGTCACCTGCTCACCAAGCTGCTTGGCAATGGTCTTGTAGCACATTCCAGCCTTGTGTAGGTCTACAATCTTGTCCCTGACATCCTTGGAGAGCTCTTTGGTCTTGGCCATGGTGGAGAGTTTGGAATCTGATTGATTGATTGCTTCTGTGGACAGGTGTCTTTTACACAGGTAACAAGCTGAGATTAGGAGCACTCCCTTTAAGAGTGTGCTCCTAATCTCAGCTCGTTACCTGTATAAAAGACACCTGGGAGCCAGAAATCTTTCTGATTGAGAGGGGGTCAAATACTTATTTGCCTCATTAAAATGCAAATCAATTTATAACACTTTTGACATGCGTTTTTCTGGATTTGTTTGTTATTCTCTCTCACTGTTCAAATAATCCTACCATTGAAATTATAGACTGATCATTTCTTTGTCAGTGGGAAAACGTACAAAATCAGCAGGGGATCAAATACTTTTTTCCCTCACTGTATAGCAGTGAGTCCATGGAGGATCTCAAAGAGGGTGATGTTGGCTCGTAAGGTTACAGGGGCTCTTGGTCTGTCTCCTCGTGGATGCGTGCAGCTATAAGGAGAACCCTTTGTTCAAGGCCGTTAAGCAGAACGACATGGAGATGCTGGAGGTGCTGCTCGCTGCCAAAGATGTTGATCCACTCATCACAGGTGACAGCAACCCACTAATCAACAAAGAGTGCATTCCTCACCCTCCCGAGGCGGCTTCCGTGGTGCAGTGTGGTGAGCTGTGTGGCGTAGTGAGCAGTGTGCAGAGCTGTGTGGTGAGCAGTGCGGTTAGCTGTGTGGTGAGCTGTGTGGTGAGCTGTATGGTGTGGTGAGCAGTGCACTGTGCTGTGCGGTGAGCTGTATGGTGAGCTCTGTGGTGAGCAGTGCGGTGAGCAGTGTGAGCTGTGTGGTGAGCTGTGTGAGTGTGCAGTGTGGTGAGCTGTGCGATTCTGTAGTGCTGTCTGATCGTGCTGCGTGTCGCTCGGCACGATGTCCGACGTTTCTTGAAGTTCCCAGCAGCTTAGGCAGGCCTTCATTCAGCAGTGGATTAGTTATTGGTGACGTTTGCAGTCAACCAGGAGTTGCGCCATCGAGAGGCAGGGCTGTCGTCGGTGTGTAGGGTTTGGAGTGGATTCCAGCAGGGGCTGCGGCAGCTCAGACGCGCGTGAGTGGGGGGGGGGGGTTGAGGGCCTTTGTCAGTGGGAGTGCTTCGTTGGCTGACAGCCGGTGGTGTTCTTCTCGGAGAATGTTTTCACTGCGCGCGTCTGGAAGTTCAATTGTGGGCTAGTACAGGAAGCCACTGTGTTGCATACCTGTCAACCCCTTTTCAGTGCCTACCTTAATACAGACCAATTTGGACCTTAAATCTTGACTTAAAGCTTTCGTGACTGCAGGAATTCATATTCTTTGGGTCTTTTCAGTAAAGCCACGTAGATAGAAAAATAATAAAAATAATAACAATATCACGACGTTTCGATCGCAACACAGGCGGTCGTCATCAGGAAAAGGGGGGTTAGCTTATAAAGACAACTGCTGAAAAAGGTTTGAAATGGACGTTGCCCAAATGTCAGCAGCCAATGCCAATGCAAGTGGTGGGCAGCGACCGTGGTGGTGGTAGGCTCTCCACCAATCAGAGGGCTGCCAGCCAAAAATAAGCATTCTAGATTTGAAGCTTTCGTGACTACAAGGATTCATACTCTTTGGTTTTATTCGGTAAAGTCACGTAGACAAAATAAAACAACTGTTTTCCTTTATTTTGTTTTATTTTGTCTACGTGACTTTACCGAATAAAACCAAAGAGTAAAAATTAGCATGTTAACGCAAGATCGCCGAGACTTCTACACGGCGAGTGCGCCAAGGTGGCTATGTTAATGTAAGAGATTAGCATGTTAATGGCAGATCGTGAAGTAGCAGCCTCAAGGATGGCACGCGAGGTAGCTGTGTTAGTGAGAAATTTAATCTGTTAATGTAAAAAATCAGAGCCGAAAATAACAACTAACATCGGAAGGTGGTAGGCTGGGAACATCACGGCCAGTTATGATTTATACTAGTACCCATCTTCTCGGTTGAAATTGTGTCTGTGTTTATATATCTGGATGGCTTCATGAACGAATCTTTGCTGATAGCCAGTGGGTTTGCAGAGTACCTTCGTCTTGGTTTCAATGCTCCAGAGATGGTCCTCACGGCTACCTGGAAGTAGGCACCTACCAGGTTTGTATGACGACTCCTGAGCCAGGTTGAGCAGTAGCACTCCACTTGTGGGTACACAAGGTCGAGTGAAGCAGTGTGGAGCGTGCCGGCTCTGCTGCCCCAGGTGGTGCCTGCCAATTTCCGTACGAGGATCACCCCTCGTATTGACCTTGGATCCGTTGTCGGTAGGTGCTGCCAGTAGGTCAGTGTACGGTCAAGGGTGATGCCAGGGTATTTTGGTGTTAGATCGTGGGTAAGTTGGTTTGCCCACAGAACCGGACAAGCAATACTTCCCTGGCCTTAGAGTTGTTGAGGCGGAAGGCTGAACCGGCAGTCTGAGCAACGTTTGGTCGGAGCCTCCGTTTGTGAAGTAGGCTTCCAGAGAACACGGCTCTGCAGTGAATGTCCTCTCAACGTCCCGGAGTTCTTTAACCTGGCAATACAGTGCCATATCTTCAGCATATACCAATAGCCAGTAGCTTTGTGGGAGGGAGGTCACTGATGTACATGTTGCAGAGGGCCAGTGCGAGGACTGATCCCCGTGGGAGCCCATTTTTGATTGTGTCTTGGCGACTGATTTGATCTCCATGGTACACACGGAAATGTTATTGGCTGGACATAGAGTTGATTAGCTGCAGGGTTTTCGCGCAACGGATGATTTTGGAGAGTATCAGCAGCATGCCCTTTGCGCCAGACTGTGTCATTGGCACTGGAGATGTCCACAAAGGCAGCTCTCGACTTCAGGCCTTCCTGGAATCCGGCCTCAATGTGATAGATCAGTGTCATGAACCTGCCCAGAGCATTTGCGGCCTATGGGGAAACCTGCCTGCTGAGGGGGCATCGCTGCTTCTAGGGTAGGGCTCGATCTGTTTAGCAGGAGGCATGCCATGACCTTCGGGGCCCCGCGGCAATCAGATGTTAACTACCTCGCCTTGTATACAGGAGATCGTGGGTTCGATCCAAACCCTGATGCCTGCTGTGTATTTAGAGTTTGCATTTTATCCCTGTGGTCGTGTGGCTTTTTTTCCAGAAACACGCGCTTAAGAGTATTTGTTTGTTATAAATTTCCACGTGAAAAGCCACTTCATTGAGCTATCGTTTGTGGTCAGATCAATTCTGAAAAAAAGAGCTACATTGCTCAGTGGGTGTTAACTGGTCGAATAAAAAAAGTATAGTTTTAATTACTTGACATGTTGTCGAGAGCAGAGCGATGGGGCAGTAGCGGCATGGGTTGTCAGGTGGTTTCCCTGGCTTGATGATGCCCCACCCTCTTGGATTGGCGCCAGAAGTTTGGAATGGAGCCTGTGCAGTGGATGTTAGTAAACAGCTTTGCTGACCACTTCTTCCTTCCCCGTAGTCACAATGTTCTTCAGGAATTCTGGATAAATCCCATCGGCTCCTGCGGCTTTCCCTGACTTGGTTTGCATCAGGGCGCTGTCCACATCCTCTTCTGTAGAAGTGGACAGGTGTCCTTCATCAAGGGAGTCGAGGAGGTCTGTAGCCACTTTGTGGGGGGGCCTTCATTTTCCCTGGATTTTCTCAGGAGCCCGGTCACTTTCCGAAGTTCAGCAATGGAAGAATATATATTTTTTCTAAAGCCCCGGGGTACAAACTTTGGTGGCTGCCAGTTTCAGAAGTCGGGTCAAACGGTTGTAGTTTTCGGGGGGATGGGTGGGATCCGGTTAATGATGGTTTCTATGTATCTGCTGTAGGCATCCCAGTTGCCCTTCAGCAGGTTCCAGCGTGGTTTTGACTTACAGTTTGTTTGATGGTAATTGGAAGCCAATGTGAATGAGACTTAGGCGGTGCTGGGAGTGGGGGAAGTTGGTCAGCACTTGTCAGGAGCACATCAACAGTTGGCCACTGCTGTTGCACGTACGTATGTTGAACTTCTTTCGCACCATACGTAGCCAACTGTGCTAACCGGAGGTGCGGGAAAGGAAAACAAACAAAACACAAAAGCAGCTTTGACTAAATTAATTTTTAATCTAGATTTAAAAGTACATACATCCAGTGCCTTCCTAATGTTTGAAGGAAGAGCGTTCCAGACGGCCATAGAAGGGCATCTGAAAACGCACGGTGTGGTGACCATCTGTTCAATGGCTAGCCAAAAGCTACTGCTGCTGCTGCGAGGATGACTAGAGAAAATGAAGACCCCAAAGTGGGTCGTGAAACAAAGATGAGGGGAGCAGTCTGGAATGTGCCTGGCAGTTTTGCATCATGCACAAGTTTTAGGTGGTGCATGGAGGACCAATCTGACAGTTGTTTTCCCCCAGTGTTGTTGCTGTTGCTGGAATATCCCCACACGTGCTGGCGGCTATTAAAGTCCCTGGTGTAGATGGTTGGGTGCGCTGTAGGCTGCATTGCAATGTTGGGCCAGAGGTCATTTGGTGGCTTTTAGACATTTGTAATGAATCTTGGTTCTTTCGGTAAAGTCACGTAGAAAGAAAATAAAATAAAAAAATAGAATACGACGTTTCGATTGCAACACAAGCAACCGTCAGCAGGTGTGAATGAATGCAAGCTACGTGTTAAACTGACATTTATGGAGTAAGGGTCGTATTATTTTAGGTCTTCCTGTGTCTTTGGCGAGGGTTTCCTTGATGTAGGTGGCTAGGCCGGTATGTCTTTGTTATTCCTGCTTGCATTCAGTTGGTACCTACCCATGGATGTGGACTCGGCGGCTGGAGCGGTCCGCGAGGCGAGTTTCTTGCAGGGTGACTACGTCCACATCTCTGAGTAGCTCGCGTTTCGTCCCAGGATAGGCCTTCAACTTTGAGGGTCATCGCTGGTCCTATTTCTCGGCTTTGTTGTCCCTGATGTGTTCATTCCGTCGCCCAGTGGGTATTTACTGCTTCGACCGGGGGTTTGATCGCCTTCTTAATAGCGTCAGTTTTCCGGGTTTTCCAATTGGGGAAAACTTGCTTTAACAGGAGGATCACGTGAAGGTTGCTGTCTCCCTCCCGCCTTAAGCGAGGACTAGCCGCGATTATCGAGACTCGGCGAGACTTTCCCGGGTAAACAAAGCGTCACAGCAACAACACCGCCACCACCTCCGAGGCAGCAATAACGCGCCATGCGCATCTGCGGCCGTGCGTCTCTTGTGTCCGCGCTGCCGATGCCGCTGCAGGCCCTGACGGCGAGACGCTGCTGCACGTGGCGCTGCTGTTCCGCCACCGCACGCTCGCTCTGAGGCTGCTGGACGCCGTTCCGGCCATCATCAACATTCCCATGACCTGCGAGCTTTACCGCGGTGAGCAGCCTCCCGTAGTGTTTACTACAATGTGGCCAATCTTCATTGGGATTACACACAGGCCGATTCCACTTCCATAATAGAGGTTTTTGGGTTAGATCGCATAAATATATAAATGTGCCGTTAAAACCTGCCACCACCCGACACAGCCAACTAGTAAGGGTGGTCACGTAAACAGAACATGCCAATTCGTCACTAGTACAGCACACCGGTGTGTTGCAGAGCCAAGCCACAATATTTACAAACTGAGTACGACGTTTCGCCAGTAATTACAACTAGCTTCATCAGGCGACAGCCAGATTTGTGGAGAAGTCTTACTGTTCCGTTCCTTATATAGAGGCGTAGATGTGTTGACCACTCTTCTGCGCTCTTGCACAATGTGGGGGGGGGGGGGGTATTACTGAGGCAACGTATATTATGCATGTGCATTATGCGAGCCCTTTGAACTTGTCCTTCCTGTCTATTGTCTTTATTAAAATGGCCCTGCCAACGGAAATCCCTATTGAAGTACGCTGCCCTTTGTAGGCATGCATTTAAATAACGTATTATTTGATTATTCGTTTCCACGCAGCACTAAGGCGGGAGCTATCCGTGACAACCCTTACGTGACAACCCTTACTAGTTGGCTGTGTTGAGTGGTGGCGGGTTTTACGCGCTCTAACCCAACAACCTCTATTATGGATGATATTGGTCGCGAAAGCCAACTCCGTGTTTAACGATTCCCACTTGCAGGCCGGGTGCTGTCCCCTTGTGCCGCACAGAGATGGATGCCACCGGGGGTGCCCTAAGCTCGATCACATGGCAGCAACCTTCACCCCCCCTATTGGCAGACTGATGCCCACTTGCAGGCCAGGGGATGAGTCATCCTTGTGCCGCACAGAGCCAGCTACCACAGGGGGTGTCAATTCCCAATGTATTGTATGTATGTTGAACTTATTTTGCATCATATGTAGCCAATCATGCTAATCGGAGGTGCGGGGAAGGACAACTACACACATGAAATGTAATATGCCAGTTGCTGATTACGTGTAAAGTGCTGTGTGACGCTACTGGCATGATGATGGCTCTATAAAACACAAGTCATGCTGATTAATTCATTCATTTGACGACCATTTAGCTCAAATCTATCACTTGTCCGTAAATCAACGCCACAATATTTATAATTTACGTTGTAAAATGCATTCCACTCATTACAAAAAGTAAAGTTCTTGTGAGAAGATCCTCATCCTTAGGATGGATCTTTTGGATACTTCATCCCTGATCTCTTACATCTCTTGAATGCATCTCTCTTATATCTCCGAGATTCAACAACGTGCGAAGGTGTGCTCATAAACTCAGCTTTTAAAAAAAATATTCACCAGGCAAGGCCCACTGAGCTATATAGCTCTCTTTCAGAAACGACCTGGCCACTAGTGATAGAGAGCAGCAGGCAGAAGACAACAGACGATGATTCCCGGTCAGGGATTCAACTCTCGTGGAATATTTTCTCACCAACTGCCGACTCAGGCTACGACGGCCCCTGGCGGTGGTGGTCACGCCGCCTCCTCCTCCTCCTCCCGGGAAGTCGAGAGCGCTCGTGTCCGGTGCCTGTCTCTGACCGTGCCCACCCACGCCGCTCCCATCTCCCTCTCTCGCTCACAAACACGCAGGGGAAACGGCCATCCACATCGCCATCGCCAACGAGAACGTAGTGATGGTGAAAGAGCTGCTGCACCGCGGAGCCGACATCACCGCGCGGGCCTGCGGTTCCTTCTTCCTGCCTGGCAAGCGCTGCCAGTGCTACTACGGTGAGCCGGGGAGGGGGGGGGGGCATTGCTCAGCGGGCCTTGGCTGGTGAAATAAAAAGGTTTAGTTTGTGGGGACACCTTCGCACGTTGTTGAATCTAAGAGCTGAACAGAGAGATGCATTCGAGAGATGTAAGAGATCAGGTATGAAGTATTGAAAATATCCATCCTGGGAATGAGATCTTCGCAAGAGCTTTCCTTTTTGCAATTAGTGCAATACATTTTACAACGTAAATTATAAATATATTGGCATCCATGACGCGCCTTTGTTATCGTCACTGTTGTAACGAGCCACGTGTTGGCGATGAGGCGTGGACTCACGTGGACGAGTCGATCCGCGGATGTATGCCATTGTCCAGGAGTCGATTCCCTCGGAGTGTTTAAAGGAGAAAATACTCGAAGCGCATGTTTTTATTTTAAATATGGAGGGAAACACCAGAGGGCCTGGAGAAATATCCACGTGACCACGGGAAGATAGACATGCAAACTCCAAATATACAGCAGGCTCGAACCCACAACCTCCTGTATACCAGGCGAGGTAATTAGCATCTCGCCACCGTAGCACCCTTGTCCTAATTACAAACCTGAGCCAGTGGTGGACATTACACATTCGTATAGCAGGGGCAAATCTGGGGGTTGTCACGTACGAGGGAGGGGATTGCGGAGATGGGAATGGTGGGGGGGGGGGGTGACCGTCGTGACCAGGTACTTCAACTCCTACAGGGTACAATAGTATAGCATTATTATAGATAGGGGAACCTTGCACTCTGGTGGGAGTGCCAAACTGCAAGCACAGCCTCGCAACGTTCTGGAAAATATGCAGCGTGTGAGAGATGAAGCCTCGCACAGTTGGGACCACACGCAGGGTAATCATTCCATCTCTCAAAAGGGAAGACATGCAGGGCAATTACTTCACTCAAACCGGGTTAAGAACAGCAAGTGGGCAGGCTGGGCCTGGGCAGAACTCGTCTCGTTAGGTTTAGGAGGATGCTGGCCGTGGGTGACGATTACTTAGTGAGTGGCATCACTGTCACAATAATCATAACCACTGTCATCATGATAATCATCACCATAACCACCGTCATCATCACCAAAACCATCATCACCATAACCACCGCCATCACCCGAGAGTGATCGCTGGCCGTGCGTGTGGCTGTGCTGACAGGCGAGTACACGCTGTCATTCGCGGCCTGCACGGGAAACGAGATGATCGTCAAGCTGCTCATGGACCACGGAGCCTCCCTCATCACGCAGGACTCCCTCGGTCAGCGCCCCTCCCTCGGCGCTCCACCCCGTCGCTATTGACGCCACTGTAGCGCCCCACTGCTGGTGGCACTGAGCGGGCAGCAGACGGCAGCAGACTGCAGAATCAAATTGTCGCGGCGTGGTTCTTATACTGTGCCTGCGTCTAAGCTTCTCGCATGCACCGACACGCGCTGACCGCTGGCTGTTGCCGGGTTGACGGTCAGATAACCTCAAGTACCGTCCATTCTCCTATAACACTGCGTGTTTTGATCACGCGAATTGGATATAACGCGATTTAGTGAACAGAACTACGTCGCGCGAGTAGGAATAAGCGGTTTTACAGCTGCCTCGACGTAGCATCACATAAGGCATTGGGATGCTGCTGGATGCTTCTAGATGCTACCCACGCGGCTTTAGTCTTTGTTCTGCCTGTGTACGCATCTCACGTGTTATCGTGGACTGTGCTTTACCCTATATTATATGATTTATAAAACGCAATTTTTCGATAACGTGGGGTTCTTCAGGAACGCAACGACCACTGTGCTATAGGAGAACAACAGACTGTGTGCGTGGGCTAGGGCAGGACACGTCGCTCGCTGGAAGCGAATGATGGCCCCTGGTCCAGACTCATGACAAAGAGGAGGGAACAGGTCTGAGAGGACGTCCACCATGGAGATGGAGAAATTCAACGAGCTGGGATAGATTGCTGCTGCATGGCGAAACCAGAAGTAATGTCAACGTTTTGTGGAGGACTTCATCCAGCAGTGGACACATCACAGCCGATGATGACGATGATGCTGAGCCTCATGCATTAACTAGGATAGTGCGGTGAAATTGGTGAAAGAGGGAAAGGTTAGAAAACAAACAGAAGGCATTGACAATGACCGAGAAATGTAGTGGATCATCATTGCTTTTGCAGTTGTTGTTTGGCGTCTATCCTCGATTGTTTCCACATGCAAACAATTATCATCCTGAATCTGTTTTGAAGTTTCTGGGAACTTAATTTTTAAAATACCGTCCCATCGTCTCCACCATTGGCTCACCCACCGACAAACTGGCCCGATATCTGTCTGAGAACTTGCAGCCATTCACTGCTAAGACCACCTCTTCTGTACTTAACTCAGCTCACCTGGTATCGTCAATTAAAGACATCTCACTGTCCCCCGGTGATTTATTGGTTTGTTTCGATGTAATTTCTTTGTTCACCAAAGTTCCTGTGCCCGATACCATTGCAATCATTGAAGATTTGGTCCAACAAGGATTGAATGCTTATGTACCGGCCCTGCTGAGACACTGCCTCACCAATACATACTTCACCTGGAATAAAACATTCTACAAACAAACTGAAGGCACCCCAATAGGTTCTTCCTTATCTCCGGTTGTAGCCAATATTTTCATGGACAAATTTGAGACGGATGCCATCCAGTCATCCACTCTACGCCCGTCCTTGTGGAAGAGGTACGTGGATGATACGTTTGTCATCTGGCCACATGGCCGACCGGCTCTGAACCAATTCTTCAACCACATCAATTCCATACACCCAGCCATCAAATTCACCATGGAGGTAGAAAAGGATGGCATGCTACCTTTCTTGGATGCCCTAATCAAAAAGAGACATGATGGCTCATTCAGCCATTCTGTCTACAGGAAAGTAACCCATACTGACGCCTACCTAAAACCGGATTCCCACCACCACCCATCCCAGAAGAATTCCCTCATCAAAACGCTACACCATAGAGCTCAATGTATCTCCAACCATGAACACCTAACCAGTGAACTCAACGACGTACACCAAGCTCTCAAGGCGAATGGATACTCTGACTAGACAATCCACAAAGCCATCACCCCAACCGTGAGAAAGGAGACATCTGAGGTTCCAATCAAAACCATCACCTTGCCATACATAGCAGAGGTAACCAAAAATATTTCTAAAATCATGAACAAACTCAAGATCCAGGTCCGATTTAACGCAGTACATAAAATTCGTGATCTGATCCCATCTGTGAAGGACAAGATTCCTGACATGCATTATCCCGGCGTCTACAAACTAAGCTGTATCTGCGGCAGCAGTTACATTGGGGAAACTAAGCGACATGTCTCGGACCGTGTTCGTGAGCATAAGGCATATTTGAAACACGGTAGGACCAATACTTCTGCCGTGGCTGATCATTATTTTAATGCAGCTGGCTCACACGACAGTGATTTCTCTAAGACGATGGTACTTTGCAAGCCTACTGGCTATCAACAAAGATTCGTTCATGAAGCCATCCATATTTACAGACACAGACACAATTTCAACCGAAATGATGGTTATAAAAGATGTCATCAACCACTTTGGGTCATTACTTGATTTATGTTTTCTTGTCAACCTCCACCATCATCAGTGTGGTTGTGTCGAGCAAGGTGCAATGCTTTGATTGGTTTAGACCTACTACCGGTGTCGGGGCTTTCTCCTACATTAACATTAGCTGCCCCGCCCATCTCTAAACATTTATAAACAGCTTTTTGATTGGCGTAGACCTACTGCCGGTGTCGGGGCTTTCTCTTACATTAACATTAGCTGCCCCGCCCATCTCTAAACATTTATAAACAGCTTTTTGATTGGCGTAGACCTACTGCCGGTGTCGGGGCTTTCTCCTACATTAACATTAGCTGCCCCGCCCATCTCTAAACCTTTATAAACAGCTTGCCTTCAGAGGCTAACCTCCCTGTTCCTGATGACGATCACTTGTGTTGCGATCGAAACGTCGTGATATTTTTTATCACTTTTTTTTCTATATACATGACTTTACCGAAAGAACCATAGAATATGGAAATTTATAGTAGCAGCCAAATAATCGAAACGTGTGTTTCTAATTGTGGAGGGAAAATCCGGAGGACCCAGAGAAACATCTATGTGGCCACGAGGAGAGAGACATGCAATCTCCAAAAATACAGGCATCAGGGTAGGGATCGAACCCATGACCTCCTGTATACCTGGCGAGGTAGTTAACATCTGGCCACCGTGGCACCCCAAAAAACCTTGCCTATTGCGGGATTTTACATCACGGATTTGATTATGCAGTACGTGCCAAATGTATCGAGGCATAGTTCACAAATCGTGCCCCTGTGGTTCGACCACTCGTGGTTTACCGCGAGATTCCTGTACGCATCGTAGAGAAGCACTTTACTCTAACTGTACTGCCCACAATGATGCTGCTGTGGAAGAACACGCACGCCGTCCTGTCTCCATCCTGTCTCTGTCTTGACTCCATCTCGTCTCCATCCTGTCTCCATCTCATTTCTAACCTGTCTCCATCTCGTCTCTAACCTGTCACCATCTCGATCCATCCTGTCTCCATTTATCCATCCTGTCTCCCACACAGCCCATCGTTGATCACAGGTGACGTGTTGCCAGCGTTCAGTGAGGCATTGACTGTTCAAGTTACATTTAACACCGTAGAAACTATTCACAATATTTTACATCAAACATACTTCCTGTTTCATGTTTTGGGTTGATGTAGAGTGGTGTCGTATTATGAACCATGAACAAAACTCGACGCTTCCGATTCGATTTTTCGGATCGCACATTTTCCGATTGTGGCAATTTTTAATAACTTCACTCCCACGATGTGCAACGTTTTGGGGTATAAGTTTACCGACTTTCTTTGCTCCAATTTCTATTTTGCCATTGCTCTGATTGTTAGTTTGGTCCTTGCTGTAATTTCTTATTTGGTTATTTTTGCGCTGATTTCTATTTGCTTCATTACTGCACTTGTTTTTCGAAAAATATTGCTTTTGTATTTGTGGTGACCCAAGTCAGTCTAAATAGATAAGACGAGTATCCTGGTTCATGAGAGCTCCACGGTGGCGAGATGTTAACTACATCGTCTCGTACGCAGGAGGTCATGGGTTCAATCTCGACTCTGACACCAGTATATTTGAAGTTTGCGCCTCTCTTGCTCTCCCCGTGGTAGTGTGGATTTTTCTCCGGGTCCTTCGTTTTTTTTCCCCTCCACATTTAGAATCAACATCACGCATTTCGAGTATTTGGCTGCTGCAATACATTTCCACGTGATAAGCCACTTCTTGGTTATCATTTGTGATGGCCAGGTCGCTTCTGAAAACGAACTATGCAGCCCAGTGGGCCTTACTTCCTGGTTCTATTCGGTAAAGTCACGTAGGTAAAAAAAAAAAATCACGACGTTTCGGCCACAACACAAGCGGCCTTCATCAGGTGAAGGGGCCAGGCTGTCTCGAGGGCAGCGCTGGAGTGAAACACAGCCATGGTCAGACCGCGACCTTTAAGCTGTGTGCGAGGAAACAAGGTGCCTTGACAAAGGAATTAGCATAAAAATTAGCATTTGATTGGCCGACTTAGCATGATGAACGGTGTAGAGGTGGTGTACATGCGGGTGAACATGCCTGGTTGGCGCGGGGGGGAGGGGGAGTTTACCTATTGATGGTGTGAAAAGGGAATTTTTAAGAGCTGCGAGGTAGCCCTCAAAGGCGTAGGACACATCCAAGCAGACGTTGCGAGAGCTGAAATTACAACGCTGTGGGTGATCACGATATAATTTTCTCCGATACCAAGGTTCTTTGCAAACCCACGGGTTTTTATCAGGGATTTGTTCACGTGGCAATTCAGATCTACAAACACAGACACAATTTCAACCGAGAAGACGGTTTCAAATTAAGCAACCATTGGAAAGATGTTCTAAATCGAACCAAACATTAAACTAATTTTCAATGGTACAGTATATTTTTCAAGTAGTGGTAACCCAAACTTCTTACCTGGTAAAATACAAATAATTCAGCTGGTTAATGATGTGCTCACCTGGTCACACAAAACAAGACTTGAAGCTTGTTGCCGCACACGCCACCCTCGCCCACCGCCCCTATGATGCTGGCACCCCGTTTGTCGCATGCAGGCAACACGGTGCTGCACGTGCTGGTGCTGCACCCCGACCGGGTGCTCGCCGTGCACATGTACGACTTCCTCATCTCGCTGGTGCACGAGGGCCAGCGGCGCTCGCTCGAGTCCATCCGGAATGCCCAAGGGTTCTCTCCGCTCAAGCTCGCAGCCGCCGAGGGAAATCTGGCCGTGAGTTTTTCGTTTTATTTCACATTTTGTGTATTTGTTCTTGCCGTAATTTGCTTACCTTTACAGAGCTTTGCACTCCTGTTTGTGTGTTTTACAATGAAAGCTGCTGTAACGTTCTGAGCCCCGTGAGCCCAAATTCTGCCTGCTGCTAACATCAGTGGCGAGTTATTATGCTGTGAGGTTGGACGTCTGTGATAAAAAGGGCTTCCCAGCAAATCGGATTCCTCCAGTATGAATAAATATTATGATGATGTTGTCTTGATATTGCTCTCAGATTGCCTATGTGCTGGAAGAACTTGAAATTAATTACTGAAAAGTATGACTTAATACTTTTCACTAACACCTTAAATTACCAAAAAATTGTTATGTATATTAAACTTATCAGAACCACATATTTAAAGTGTTTGTCAACTACATTTTTTTATTGCAAGAATGTTTTATATAAAGGCATTACAAGTTTAACTTGGGATCTGCTTTCAAAAATATTGTAGTGATGCGGAGGGGAGCGGTGGCACTGCAATCCGAACCCAGGTAATCCAGGTTCTATAAAGACGGGAAAACAGCTTCATAGCTCATCGGATTCCTCCAGAACAAATACATATTCTGATTCATATTTATTTTAAGCGGGACTTTCTGGGGTTTTTTTACACCTTGCCTCAGCGCTACCGGCCCAAAGGCCCAAAACGTCATGAGGGGCCGGGAACACGCGGCACCAGTCAATGTTGCACGCGGTGCGACGTTGACGCCTTTCTTGCTCGCGACGTTGGCCGCCGGTCATGCGGGTCAAATCGAATCGAGGGGGTGGCTGCTCTTCCCACCGTTTTGTTGGCTTTAAAAAAAATGCTTTTACTTGTCCCCCTGCTGATTACGGTCTTCGAGCGGATTTGTGAGCGACGCGCGGGGTTGGGGTGGTGGTCGCGCATTTGTCCGCGCACGGGCCGCGACCCGCGGTCTCGTGGTGCCGGCTGTGGCCGCTGATTGAGCCTTGACGATGTCCCCCCTCACCCCTTCCCCCGATGGCGCTGAGAGGAGACGGTTTCTGCGTTTCCCTCAGATGTTCAACCACCTCATGCAGAAGAGGAAAAACATCTACTGGAACTGTGGCCCCGTCAGATCAGCCATTTACGACCTCACGGACATCGACACGTGGGGAGACAAAAACTCGATCTTGGAAATTATCACCTCCAGCAAAAACAAAGAGGTGAGTGCCCAGTTTAGACACGGTGCTAAATCACCGTCAGACTGTTATTATTTTACCTCCACAATGAATTGACACACAGACGCCTGTGCCCCAGGCGTCTGTGCGTAGCATTTTTCATGTAACGTCATTACAAGTTTTACTTGGGATCTTTTTTCAAAAATATTGGAACCATGCGGAGGGGAGTGGTGGCACTGCACTACGAACCCAGGAAATCCGATGAGCTTTTTCAGAGCTTACCCACCACTCCAGTGGGTGGTGGGACACAGGCGAGGAATTACCCCCCAGTGAGGAGCTCGCATCTGGCTCCCGATCCCAATGGCCCACGTGGCGGAGCCTATACAGACTGAAGTGAGTTAGTCTCTGCAGATGCTGCAACTCTCTCATGAAATCCTGGGGGGGGGGGCTCCTACACAACAAACGACCAATGTGTGATTGTCAGAAGAAGCAAAACCGTGGGTCATCTCCTGATATGCCCTGCAGCATCCACAATGCACTACCTCCAGATTTGGCCATGCCAACGCCACACAAGCGGTGGTGGCCTGTGCAGAATATTGGGAGAAGTGCCATGTAGAGGTTGGACAAGGAGACACCACGACGACACCCCAGTCGATCATCACACACAGTCTGACCGCCTGCTAGCCGGGGTGGAAGCTGTCCACTGGCATCACCGCACCACGGCACATGGCAGATGAAGCCATTGCAGTCGTGATCAGGATGAAGGGACTGCAATGCATATATTATCAGAGCATGTTTTTTTTTGCATTCTGACCACAAGTATTGTGGTTAATGCGGACATGATTCCTTATAAAAGGTTTCAGTTTGGTGTTTTAACATCTTAACACCTGTTTTGTAGCCAGAAAAAAATGGGAAAACCGATTCTCATATTTTGGTACTGTTTTGATGTAGTTAATATAAGTTTATGACAGTCATTTTCCTCAAGGGCAGATTGGCAACATGTGCTATACATACTCTTTGGTTCTATTCGGTAAAGTCACGTAGGTGAATTTAAAAAAACAACAACAAAAAATCACGACGTTTTGGCCACAACACAAGTGGCCTTCATCAGGTGAAGGGGATCAAACTGTCCAGAGGACAGCGTTGGAGTGAAGAAAGCCAAGCGCAGGTCGCCTCCTTTAAGCTGTGAGGGGGTAAACAGAAAAAAACGCCTTGACAAAGGAATTAGCATAAAATGTAAAGCTGTGCAAGCTTGGAATTAGCATACATTACACCACCGTGAGAGTTTGGGATGCTACTAATTGAATAAATATACTGTACCATTGAAAATGTGTTTAATGTTTGGTTCGATTTAGAACATCTTTCCAATGGTTGCTTAATTTGAAACCATCTTCTCGGTTGAAATTGTGTCTGTGTTTGTAAATCTGAATTGCCTCGTGAACAAATCTCTGATAGAAACCCGTGGGTTTACAGAAACAACCACTTGATACTCCGATCAAAACCATCACACTACCATATATGGCAGGCGTTACTAAAAATATCTCCAAAATTCTAAACAAACACAAGATCTTGGTCCGGTTCAATACAGTACACAAAATCCGTGACCTGATCCCTTCCGTGAAGGATGTCATTCCTGACTTACAGTACCCCGGAATTTACAAATTGATCTGCACCTGTGGTGACTGTTATATTGGGGAGACGAAGCGACATGTCTCTGACCGAATTCGCGAGCACAAATCAGATTTGAAACATGGCAGAACGAATTCTTCTGCCGTGGCTGATCACTGTTACAACGCTGTGGGTGATCACGATATAGTCTTCTCCGATACCAAGGTTTTCTGTAAACCCACGGGTTTCTATCAGAGATTTGTTCACGAGGCAATTCAGATTTACAAACACAGACACAATTTCAACCGAGAAGATGGTTTCAAATTAAGCAACCATTGGAAAGATGTTCTAAATCGAACCAAACATTAAACACATTTTCAATGGTACAGTATATTTATTCAATTAGTGGCATCCCAAACTCTCACGGTGGTGTAAAGTATGCTAATTCCAAGCTTGCACAGCTTTACATTTTATGCTAATTCCTTTGTCAAGGCGTTTTTTCTGTTTACCCCCTCACAGCTTAAAGGAGGTGACCTGCGCTTGGCTTTCTTCACTCCAACGCTGTCCTCTGGACAGTTTGGTCCCCTTCACCTGATGAAGGCCACTTGTGTTGTGGCCGAAATGTCGTGATTTTTTTCTTCCTACGTGATTTTACCGAATAGAACCAAAGAGTATGGATCCTTGCAGTCACGAAAGCTTCAAATCTACAATGTGCTATACAATACGGCATTGTTGTATATATTGGGTCTTGAAAATGTACAAAAAATGTGTAATTAGCCAACATTATGCTAATTTATGTAAGTATGTAAATTATTATATGCTAATTAGAATTAGGAAGGTATTAAGGTATGCAAATCTATGATATTATGCTAATGTTTGCAATTATGATCATTAGGCTCTGCCTCATTGTCTAGGGTTGTATTATGAATCGGGATAATACAATGAAGAAAGTGTAATTGCATTAAGTTATGCAAGTGTGATGTAAGTATGCTGATTAAGCTCAGCTTCGTTGTCTAGGGTTCTCTTATCAATCTGGATAATACAATGATTCTCGCTTTAACTTTTACTTATTGTGTTGTAGTGTTTTTATGTCAGGTCTCAAAATTCAGATCCCACCGCAGGATACAGTTCTTATAATTAAGATTATTATGCATGAACTTAGGAAGGCACCACTCAGACTCTTCTGTGTTAAGCAACTTTAATCTCCAAACAAAAACATAACACTCTAATATGCGAACTCTTATGCTTGGAATGTCATTGATCCGTACAAATAACCCTCAATGGTTACGTTTGTTAACTGGGTAACAGAACAATCGGTTAATTCCTCAGAGTAAAGCGAGCATACACGGCGATGGGAAAAAGTCCTTAAAAACTAATGTGACAATATTCATACGAACAGTAATAAAGAAACATGTCCCGAAAGTAAAAGTAGACCTCAATTAATTCATTGTTAAGATTATGCAATTCACGAAAACGAATGACTGAAATACTTCTAAACAATCGTATTCATGTAACTCGACAGGGAGCAATGCTTTTCACAATCAGCTGATATTTAACGCACTACCTTGGAATGGCAATCCTTCATGAAACACAAAGATAACTTTTTGGAACAATCTTATTAGTCCCGATATGTGTGCTGTGTGTGGGTGTCTTCTTTGCCACTTGTTGACTTGGTGGCTTACGCGGTACGGCGTTCCTTGTGCTGAAAATACCTCGGGTTCCCAGCAGGGCCGCTGGGACGGTGTGTGTGTGTATTGAACACACGGCACTCTTGCCTGTGCCAACACTCTTCCTCTTGGCGTTGCCAGCTCTCTCCACTGGTGGTTGGTTGAGTTGGTGTGATGCTCGCTGTCGGCGTTGTGCGATGATTCTGTCGTCAGATAGCGCTCGCAGCTCGTCCGCTGGTCGCCGTTCCTCACTCTTGTCTTGGTTCCCAGCTGGGGCTTGTCGGTGTGTGTGTGGGTCGAACCCACGGCGCTCTCGCCGGTGCTGACACTCTTCCTCACGGACGGCTGGTCAGGCTCTTTCCCCTGCTCCGTGCTCTCTCCTTTATCGTGCAGCTGCCAGCTTCACGCGGGCACTCACTGGTGCCTCTCCCGCCCTTACTTCAGGACTGCGCTGGCTCAGGCTCTTCCACTGCTCCGTTCTCTCTCCTTTAGCGGACAACTGCCAGTTTTGCGCTGGCATTCAGTGTTGCCTCCCCCACCCTTCCTTCAGGGCTTCGCCTTGTCATTGCTCAACATTCGTGCTCTCCACCCTTCTTCCAAGAGGACACTTGCTGTGAGCTGCTTGTCGCTGGCTGGATTACTCACTCTCAAAACTTGTAAATTGTATTAGCACACCTCTTACACAACTCTGATAGCTTAGTACAATACATACTATCGCAATCCTCGATTCTGCAAGTGACTCAAAACATCAGGATAAATGTAGAATTAAACTTTCAGCGATACTGTCGGTCCATGCCGAACTCAGCTCTTCACAATACACCATGCCTTCTCTCACCCATGGTTGATCTCGAGGCCATGCCCTGGAGCCTGCCCCTTGCAAGACTAAATTGTGTGTGTTGTGTCCCTGCTTATATCTGAAATTCTCTCCCCTCGGCTCGCCTTCTCACAAAGGACCAGAATTCCTTTGATTTTGCTCTCATCCTGTGGGAACAGCTGTTTGTCCAGTGTATGTGTTTGTTCTAATTTTATTATAGCAATATAAGCCTCATCAAGGCCTGGTTATTGTCCCCTTCCTCAAGCCACCCCGCCATCAATGGAAATAGATGCTCCAAATTGCCCCCAAGTGTGTCCTTCCAGTCCTTCAACCCTCTGCAATAATTAATCTGGAAGGAGGGGGGGGGGTTCCCCCTGTCCGGTTGCGTTCTCCCCCCTCTTCCCCCACGGCTGGGGGTGTTACATTTTTGTCTCTCTCAGAGGGGCGCCTCTTGCTTGTACTTGCTTTGTGGTGGCCTTTGAAGTCCGGTAGAGATTTCCCCAGAATCTCATTAGCAACCCCCCCTCCCCCTTTTGCAACGGGATTTTTTAAAATTACCTTTATGGCTACTTACTTGCCTGGTGTGGCTTTTGAGAGGCAGCTGCTGTTTGAGGGGAGGGGGTTCGCATCACCCCCTTTGTGCCCCAAGCGACACCCCGATCTATTATTATTTTTAAAAAATATTGGCAGAATTATTCTTAATATACATTTTTAGAAAAAGGCCTATATATACAACAGCATGAGACTCCATGCTTCGATACCCTGATAGGAGAAGCTAATCAAGGAAGCTAATCCGCCACCGGCGAAGCTGGAGGCATGGACTCCTCGAGGTCTACGTGGCGCTCTACTAGGCTTGCATTCAAGTATTTTGCTCCTCGTTTTGATTTCCTGGCGATTCCAACATGGAGAGGACTGTGAAATTTAAAGGGCCCTGTGTGAGGTATGGTCAGGTGGTTCCTGTTTGTGTGTCCATCTGGGACGTCATCAGCACTCGGTAACGAATTGCGATCGCTATAGTCAGTTGCTGTTGCCCGTGTTGTCATGACATCGTCACATGACGGTCACTCCGCTGGGCCATGCGGCGTGCCCAACATCAAACACGTGTGAGTGTATGCGTGTGTGTATCATCGGACACTCCACCCCCACAACTCCCAATCGGTGATGGGGCAGTTGTGGAGAGAGTGGAGAGTTTCCCATACCTGGGCAGTGTGCTCATGACCGGCTCCAGTTTAACAGCAGAGGTCTCACTCCGAATCAGACGAGTGGCAATATCTTTTCATCGGTTGCGTAACGCTGTGTGGAAGCTACCTGGTCTGTCACTCCGCACGAAGCTTCGGGTCTTCTCGGCCACAGTCATTGCCTCCCTTCTCTATTCTTGCGAAACGTGGACCCCCCCCTAATGAAGCATCTTCGCCAGTTAGAAACATTTAGGCTGGCCTGCCTACGATCCATCCTGGATTTAACCAGGCTGGATTGTGTGAGGAGCTCACAAATCCTTGAAAGATCTGGGCAAAATCCCATCGGTGAGCTCCTCCGGCGGGCAAGGCTGCGTTGGCTGGGTCATGTAGCCCGCATGCCCAGCCACTGCATGCCTAAACAGCTTTTGTTCGGCCGGATAGAGGGGACTAAATGGGCGCGGCATGGGCTAGAGAAGAGATGGAGTGATGTGGTACAGGAGGACGTGGAGCTGAGTGGACTTACCAATGACTGGTACCAGCGGTGTCAAGATCGGCCTCAGTGGAGGAGGCTCATGAAGGACGCTACTGGGCAATTGGAGGTAGTCGCCCTCCAACAACAACAGAGGGCGGAGGAGCAACGCTCACAACAATGAGCGAAGTGCCGGGTGGCTAAAGCACAGCAAGTTGGCACAGTAGGGTGCACAGGTGGTGCATCAGCCAGTCATCTCAGTCAGTCGACCTGTGGCACCTGGGTCTGCCCCGTGACCTCCTGCCAGTGGGCGTTCGACACTTCACATGGCCTCAAGGTGCACATGGCCTGGCACAAGCGTCGTGGTGACTTCACCACCACTGATTGGCGAATGGCGGTTGTTGTTGTGTAAGCACGAGCGGTCGGGTAGAAGAGAAGCGGTAGAGTAGCGGTTAACACACTGCGCTATGAACTCGGCGACCCGAATTCTATTCCGGCTCATGGCCAACACCAGTGATAATTATCTGAACTGGGCCTCCCCTAGGTCGACTCAGGCGCAATTGAGTGTGGTGTGTGTAAACATCGCCACTTGGGCAACAACGGCGGCGGAGGATGGTGTTGGTCACCCACCCCCTCGTGTACCATGCCGGCCTTCATAGGTGATCACTAACAGCACTTGCCACAACAGTCTAGTGAGGCTACACGGAGGATCTTTGTCTTTGTGTTTCTTGTGACATAATAACTGCACTCATAGTTATTGAATTACTATCTATATGAGAGATTTGCTCAGTTTCGAAAATGCACATTACTACAGACGCGTGCGTTATTGATTCTCTGGGATTGAGTTTGAACCTGCAACCTCTCGTGGCCATGCCGCAGCTGCACTGAGCGTGGCCTGCAGGCCAGAGTCCAGCGATGTGGTCTGTGGTCCAGCACTGTGGCCTGCAAGCCAGGGTTGTGGCCTGTAGACCAGAGGTGTGGTCTGTAGTCCAGCGCTGTGGAGGCAGCAGCAGCGGGGGTTGGTCGATCACCGCACAGATGTTGTGAAACTCCCTTTCCCATGGACGTCCAGGAGAGGGTGGTACAACAAAGTGCGGACCAATGTCATCTGTCCCTTCTGTACGGGGATAGAGCGTTGCCCCCTCGTGCGCGTGGGTTTTCTCCCACACATATGAACGCACCTCCCCCGCCCCCGCACCACGGTTGGCTACGTATGGTGGTGTGAAAGAAATTCAACGTACATACATAAAAAATACTCATTATTTGGCAGAAAACCATTTAACATGTAGAGGAACGCAGAGTTCTGGCAATTGCTAGTAACGCCAGCTCACCACGTGGCTGCTGCTGCTGCCTTCCAGCTCGTCTTGTGGTTCCTCGGCGAGCGTGAGAGATGCAAAATTTGCACGAACGACGACGACGAAGATAAAGTATGAAACGAAATAAGTCAAACATCGCGGTCCAGGCAGGTTTCGTCTGTCAGGCCCACGCCACGTGCTGCCCGCGGCCACGATCGCGACGATACGAGCTGAGCCCCAGAGAGATGCCCCCCTACATATGGCCCAGCCACGGGGACAACCCACACATTGAGGACCTTTTTCCCGTTTTTATGGAACCAGAGCAACTTCGCGTCATTCCGAAGCACAAAATTGTGCCTCTGTAAATGCACGCTGTTCGGCAGAACCCCACGGTCAAACGCGCCTCACTGCTCGCACTGTCTCACCCCGTGTGTCACTACTCGCTCTGCCCGTGTCTCACTGCCTGCCCACAAGGCCCGCAACCTGATCGGAATGACGCCCATCAAAGAGCTCCTCCACCACAAGTGGAAAGTGTACGGTTTCAAGTACTTCATCATCTGGACCGTTCTCTACATCTTCTACATCCTCATCTTCACCGTCTGCTGCATCATGCGTCCTCTGCAGCACGTGAACAGGCTCGACAACGCCACCATAATGGGTTCCAAGCAAATAAGGGTACGTCGCCGCATGTGAGGATTCACATCCCATAGGGCACTTTCAAATGCTTTGGCAACTCAAAAGTAGCGTTCGGGAATTAGTACCGTGATGCCCACGCTGTGCTCCGAATAACGACACGGGGACTCTTTGGAGTCCACTTCCATGCAGACAGCGTTCAGTGTTCGTGAGCAACGCATGTGCAGGATTAACCAGGGTGCGGCCCACCGGGGTTTGAACCACAAACTTCTCCAACAAGCCGCAAGGTCACAAAAGTGCCTCAGTCAAATCTCACCTGTGTATTTTAATTTCACCCTGATTAAATTACACGCCGACGGCATTCACGTCAGAGAGTCAATGTTAGAAATAACATGGTTATAAGGCGCACGGTGAAGCTGTTGTTTCTGTTTATTACAAGCACGGCTAATATTTAACTATTTGTTATTACGGTTTTTATTTTAACTTGATTTGGTGCTTTCGTGACTGCAGGAATTACTCTTTGGTTTTTTCGGTAAAGTCACGTAGAAATAAGAAATAATAAAATAAAATTACATAATAGCATACGACGTTTCGATTGCAATGCAAGCAATCATCATCAGGTATAGAAGAGCTAAATTTAAGAGAGAGAGGAAACACAGAGAGATGGAGAAGCACATCAAATTGAACAAGATTTAGTAAAATTTGGAAACAATATAATGCAGCACAGAGGGTCGGTCAAAACACAATTAACGCATGGTCTGGCTGATTACGTTATTTCAGAGATTGCTAAATTATAGGTTAAGAGTGATAGAGTACAGATCACAGACACATATACAGACATCCAAGCAGAGAGAGCCAGCACAGAGACACACAGAGAGAGACACACACATGGGACAGAGTGAAACAATGCTTCTGTGTCGAAGCCTTAAACTAGAGGGGAGGGAGGGGGGGTTGGAGACAGAACAAAGGAATACAAATTAGATGGACTGGGAGCCACCGTACATGCAGAAGTCAGATTAGCATGCCCACAGGGACTGTGGAGAGAAACAAGCCACATGGACTGGGAGCCACCGCTCATGCCGATGCAGCGTGGTGAGGGGGGGGGGGAAGGGGGCACAGAAGTCAGATTAGTTTGTGTCTCTGTGTTGTCTCTAGCTGTGTTTCTGCCTCTGTGTCTACGTGTATGTGGCTTGCTTCTCTCCACAGTCCCTGTGGGCATGCTAATCTGACTTCTGTGCTCCCTTCTCCCCCCTCACCACGCTGCATCGGCATGTGCCGTGGCTCCCAATCCATGTGGCTTGTTTCTCTCCACAGTCCCTGTGGGCATGCTAATCTGACTTCTGCATGTACGGTGGCTCCCAGTCCATCTAATTTGTATTCCTTTGTTCTGTCTCCAACCCCCCCCTCCCTCCCCTCTATTTAAGGCTTCGACACAGAAGCATTGTTTCACTCTGTTCCATGTGTGTGTGTCTCTGTGTGTCTCTGTGCTGGCTCTCTCTGCTTGGATGTCTGTATATGTGTCTGTGATCTGTACTCTATCACTCTTAACCTATAATTTAGCAATCTTTGAAATAACGTAACCAGCCAGACCATGCGTTAATTGTGTTTTGACCGACCCTCTGTGCTGCATTATATTGTTTCCAAATTTTACTAAATCTTGTTCAATTTGATGTGCTTCTCCATCTCTCTGTGTTTCCTCTCTCTCTTAAATTTAGCTCTTCTATACCTGATGATGATTGCTTGCGTTGCAATCGAAACGTCGTATGCTGGGTTTTTATTTTACCCACTGAGCTATGTGGCTCTTTTTCAGAAACGACCTGGCCACAAATCATTGCTCAACGAAGTGCCTTATCATGTGGAAATGTATAGCAGTCAAATACTCTAAACGCGTGACGTTGATTCTAAATTTGGAGGGAAAAACCGGAGGACCCAGAGAAAAATCCGCATGACCACGGGAAGAGAGAGACTTGCAAACTCAAAATATACAGCAGGCGTCAGGGTCGGGATTGAACCCACAACCTCCTGTATATCGGACGTAGGTAGTTAACATCTTGTCACCGTGGCATCCGAATTTGAATGGTTCACCAAGAAAATAGAACAAAAGCTAAAAAGTTCGCAGAGAGGCACGGAGAAGTGCGTGCGTGTAATTGCATTCAGAGACGCAGAAAGGAATGCACGTGAAAGGAATCGAGCCCACGCCATGTTCAGCGAGGTGTCTCTATTGGATAACCTCACAGGTAATGTCCCCGGTTATATGGCAGATAACATGCCACGCTTCAGCAATGCATCCACAACTCCCTCCTCTCTTTGCTCTCCGCTCTTATACCCCCAGTCCACATTGCTTGCCCGTCACTCATTGTCCGAGGCTTAGTCTCACATTGTGATTAACTGGCCAAGCGTATTTGAGTTCCCTACTTAAAATCCCCACCCAGGGGCTTTTGCTCCAGGTTATGATGAACTGCCCCCGGTGCCGCCCGAGCCTCCCAACACGTGGAATAGGGAAGACGGGCGGCTCAGGGATGCCGCATTGAACGTCAGCCTCAGTGAGTGGACCTTGGGCAGGACGCGTCGTATCCAGGCCTGGACGATAGCCGGTGGTTGAGACGAACGACGGAGCGGCAGCACGAGATGGGGACGTGCTCAGAAAGACGTCGAGTTTGAAGCGATGACGTCAGCTCAAACTGCAAGCTGCAGCTTTGTACACAAAACTATTGTGGAACGTGTTGTAATGGGTACTGCAAGATCCGACTGCATCTGTCCAGTGCTTGCCGAGCTGCATTGGCTTCTGGTTGCCAAACGAATGCATTTTAAGATCGCGCTAGCTACACACAAAGTGCTTGCCACAAATGAACCACTACCATTGGTGATCTCGTCAAGGAACATGAACCATTCCGTAAACTCCAGTCATCTTCGCAGTGGCTTTTGGCTAGCCATTAAATAAAGATGGTCGCTGCAATGCACACTCTTTCAGATGCACTTCTGCGGCCGTCTGGAATGCGCTTCCTTCTGAGATTAGAAAGTTACTGGCGCTATGCACTTTTAAATCTAGATTGAAAACTCATATCTTTAGAACTGCTTTTGTGTGTAGTTTTTGCCCTTTCCCCACATCTCGGAATTGCACGGTTGGCAATGTACGGTGCGAAAGAGGTTCAACATACATACAGCTCACGTTTAAGAATGCATCACATGACCATGAGGGATGGCGACGGAATAGGAAGGCCTTCATCCAGAAGTGGATAGCTCATAGCTAATGATGAAGACAGCTTAGACACAGACTTATTTCAGCTGGAAAGGCCCCCAGTGGACTAAATGGCTCTGTTATAGGGAGGACCATAGCCCAGAGCATTGGCACTGGTGACATTTACATAGGGTTAGATAAAGATCCATAGAGTTACATACAGATCCATAGAGTTGGGTAGATATACATAGTTACATGGATATATATTGTTACGTAGAGATCCCTAAAGTTAGATACAGATCCATAGAGTTACTTAGAGATCCATAATGTTACATAGAGATCCATAGAGTTACATAGAGTTACGTAGAAATTCATAGACTTACATAGAGATCCATAGAGTTGCATAGTGAGCCATAGAGTTACATAGAGATCTATAGAGTTATTGAGAGTTCCATAAACCTAAAGTGACCTTTGCTCATCAGCAGCGCTATCGTAACATTGCTCGCAGGTGTTCACAGCACTCGCTCGCTCGACCGTGCTTTGCCGTCTGGTCTGCCTCTCAGGATTCTTACGAGAGCGACTGGGACTACGTTCGTCTCATGGGGGAGATCATCACGGTGCTCGGAGCCATCACCATCTTCATCATGGAGGTTGGTATCTCCATCACGGAGGTTGGTATCTCCATCACAGAGGTTGGTATCTCCATCATGGAGGTTGGTATCTCCATCACAGAGGTTGGTATCTCCATCACAGAGGTTGGTATCTCCATCATGGAGGTTGGTATCTCCATCATGGAGGTTGATATCTCCATCACAGAGGTTGGTATCTCCATCATGGAGGTTGGTATCTCCATCATGGAGGTTGGTATCTCCATCACAGAGGTTGGTATCTCCATCATGGAGGTTGGTATCTCCATAGAGGTTGGTATCTCCATCACAGAGGTTGGTATCTCCATCATGGAGGTTGGTATCTCCATCACAGAGGTTGGTATCTCCATCACAGAGGTTGGTATCTCCATCACAGAGGTTGGTTTCTCCATCACGGAGGTTGGTATCTCCATCACGGAGGTTGGTATCTCCATCACGGAGGTTGGTATCTCCATCACGGAGGTTGGTATCTCCATCATGGAGGTTGGTATCTCCATCACGGAGGTTGGTATCTCCATCACAGAGGTTGATATCTGCATCACAGAGGTTGGTTTCTCCATCATGGAGGTTGGTATCTCCATCATGGAGGTTGGTATCTCCATCATGGAGGTTGGTATCTCCATCATGGAGGTTGATATCTCCATCATGGAGGTTGATATCTCCATCATGGAGGTTGGTATCTCCATCATGGAGGTTGGTATCTCCATCATGGAGGTTGATATCTCCATCATGGAGGTTGATATCTCCATCATGGAGGTTGGTATCTCCATCACGGAGGTTGGTATCTCCATCATGGAGGTTGGTATCTCCATCATGGAGGTTGATATCTCCATCATGGAGGTTGGTATCTCCATCATGGAGGTTGATATCTCCATCATGGAGGTTGGTATCTCCATCATGGAGGTTGGTATCTCCATCATGGAGGTTGGTATCTCCATCATGGAGGTTGGTATCTCCATCATGGAGGTTGATATCTCCATCATGGAGGTTCGTATCTCCATCATGGAGGTTGGTATCTCCATCATGGAGGTTGGTATCTCCATCATGGAGGTTGGTATCTCCATCATGGAGGTTGGTATCTCCATCATGGAGGTTGGTATCTCCATCACGGAGGTTGGTATCTCCATCATGGAGGTTGGTATCTCCATCACGGAGGTTCGTATCTCCATCATGGAGGTTGGTTTCACAATCACTGCTTCTTCCACCTCGTCGCTGTCGTCGCTTACACAAGCACGGCTGCTCCACCTCTTCCCCTCCACTTTGCAACGTACCACATCCTCCTGCCTCATGTTATCTTCATCATTATCAGCCATGAATAATCCACTGCTGGATGAAAACCTCAGTACGCCACCGCCTCTCATCATCCTGCAAATACGACATCCATCCATTCATCCCCACGGTGGACGTTCTCTCTCAGACGCGTTCCGTCCATGGGCTGCTGCTCTATTTTTAGTCTCAGCCATCGGCCACCGCCCCTCTCTAGCAGTGACGACACGTCCTGACAAAGCCCAAATACGTTCCGGAGCAGTTTGAATGATGTATTTACCTGCGTACGTTAAAAGATCCACGTGTTCCACTTTCTATCCCAAGGTTTGCATGCAATTCCAGATATTTAAATCTAGATTAAGAGCTCATTTGTTTAGAACTGCTTTTTGTGTTTAGTTTGTTGTCTTACCCCCGCACCTCCATGAGAGAGAGAGACACACACGCTGACGCAAAACTTGAATAAACTATTTTCATTAGTTCCTTCAGTCCGGAGAAATGATGAACACACGGGTAGATTCGATTTTTTTTCAATTCCATTTTAATATTGAGTGAGCACGCGATATCAGAGTTAGACTGCTCCAATTGTGCGGTGAAAATAGGCGAAAGTGCAATGTCCACTCTCAACATAAATATTCACGCAAAACAAGGTGGCCGAGCTGCTCAAAAGTCGAGAGCGCCGAGGCAGCATCGCCGACATCCTGGTGGGGTTCAAATCCGGGAAGTTTTAGCAGCCTGCGATTCTTAGACCAGGTTCTCAGGTGCCGCGAGGTGATGTTCTCAACTCGGTGGTAAATGACCTATGGCCAAAATGATTGTAATGTGTGCCAATCAAGGGCAGCTCTGAGCTGTGGGGTGACGAGCATCGCTCACTGTAGTTCATAGTTACATTTATTTGGTATAGCCCTGTGAGCCATTTGGCTCTTGAATCGGGTGCAACCGCAACAAACAAAAACCAAAAACATGAACAAGAAAACATCTTAAAGTGACTATGTGACTGTACAAACAGAAATTCCAGGAAAAAACATCAAAATATTGCTGAAATAGCACCGTACACCAACGCTGTGTGCAAAAATCCCAGTGGGATGCAAGTCAAACAACAACAACAACAACCACAAGACAACTAAGTTAAAGGCCATCAGTCAACTCCGTACTACAATAAACAAAAACATGGCCAAACCAAAAAACTTTTCGAAATCACCAAAATAAAGCCATAAATGCAATGTAACAGTGATCATAGGGACTGTGACCGAATTTGTAACAATAAACTACATAAATAACATGTAACACCAAACCCTAGAGCCATAGCTGGCTGCATGAGTCACTCCACAACAACAGGAGCATCAGTCGGAGTATCACATTTTTCAATGCACCTTTAAGATCAGCACACTAAATCAAAATACAGATAATACTTTGCAGCGGTCATCCGGAGTGAAACATTTTATTTTATTTTAGGCCACTGAATAGCAGTGGCAGCTAGGGGTGTACAACTCCTCTAGAGCAGTTTTGAGTGAAGATCTCATAGTGATTCAAGTTGTAGTTTATTGGCAATAGCATTCCAGACCCTGGAGGAATCAATAGCAAAGGCCCTTCCTCCGGTTTTTGTACGGCAATAGGGAATGTGAAGCTGGTAGATGAGCCAAGACCTGAGGTAAAATTTGTTCTTTGAAACAGAGAGGAGATCCAGTTGGTAGTCTGCGGATTTTTTTGTAAGTACATCGTGAATAAATAAGATCTGGTGCACAAGCCGTCAAACATTAAGAGATGTTAAGTTTGACCCAATGTAGAGATCACAGTGGTGAGTCCTATATAGGCAGTTCAATGCAAATCTTAAGGCCGAGTGATAGATGGACTCAAGCTTCTTCAGTACAGTACTTGGGGCTAATTTATACACGATATCACAGTAATCGAGTAGAGGCAGTATGGTAGCTTTTATCAATTCCAAACGGAACATAGGGGGGAAGCAGTGCTTGTGTCGATACAGAAAAACAATTTTTATTTTTGTCTTTTTACCAATATAATCAATGTGATCTTCAAAATTCAGTTTTGAATCCAGGATGACCCCAAGATACCTATAGATCTTGACTTGCTCTATTTGATAATTATCTAAGGAATGCAATTGGGGAAAAATAACTTCCTGCTTTAGTCACGGTGAGAAGCATAGCATCTTGGTTTTGGAGGTATTCAGGACTAGTTTAAGAGCAACTAGCTGATGTAGTTTGTTGAAATCACCCTGGAGCTTAGCAATCACGTCATCCGGAGAGCGGCCAGCAGTAATCAGTATCGTGTCATCTACAAAATGATTTACCCTGGAATGATCCAGGTCAGTGCCCAAGTCATTGACATAAAGAGAGAACAAGAGGGGGCAGAGGATGGAACCCTGTGGAACCCCTTTTGTTATCTTTACACTGTTTGACCTCCAACCATCTGTGAATACAGTTTGGGTGCGAGAAAAGAGGTAATATTTAAACCATTTACTGTGTATTTGGAAAAGCCGAGGCAACTTAGTTTTCTAAGCAGGGTGTTGTGGTCTACTTATCAAAAGCTTTGGACAGGTCAAGAAAAAGACAGGCACAGTACTGCTTATTATCAAGGCTACTGTAAATTTGATTCAGAGAGTCTAATGCAGCAGATGTGGTGCTGTATTTTTTTCGGAACCCAGATTGTTTTAGATGCAGTAGATTGTTGGTGGACAGGAAACTGCTAATTTGGTAGTTCAATAATTTTTCAAAAATTTCCATCATTGGGGACAAAATTGAGATAAGTCGATAGTTATTGGGATCATCTTTAGGCCCCCCTTTGTGAAGTGGACGGACATAGGAATGTTTCCATTCTAGAGGAACTGATGCTTTTCTATGTAAAGCTTTCGTGACTGCAAGGATTCATCTTCTTTGGTTCTTTCGGTAAAGTCACGTAGAATGAGAATAAAATAATAAATTGATAAAATAAAATAATACAATAATATTCTCAAGACGTTTTGGCCGCTTGTGTTGTGGCCGAAACGTCGTGAGAATATTATTGTGTTATTTTATTTGATCAATTTATTATTTTATTCTCATTCTACGTGACTTTACCGAAAGAACCAAAGAAGATGAACTGATGCTTCTTTGATGGACAGGTTGAAAATATGGGCTTTAGGTTTGTATATTAGGTGACCAACAGTTAGTAGAGCAAAGACGGGAAAACTACCTGCTCCAGTAGAGGAGGACCCTTTGAGGTAGGACAGTTGTTTCAGAACATTACTTTCGTGGATTGGCTGGAAACTAAATCCGTTTAATGTTTGGACAGGGGTGTAGGAATTTGCATGAGCAGGGGTGACTCCCAATACATTATCAAAAAGATTACCAGCTTCAGAAAAATGAAAGTTAAAATTGTCAACTATTTTTTTGGGATCTGAATAATATTCCTCATTTCAGTTAAGCTCAACGGGCAGATTCTGTTTTGGATGCCTTTTCGATACATTTGATTGTTTTCCAAAAAATCCTGGCATTTCCATGTGATTACAGGAGAGTGGAGGAAAAGTAGGCATTTTTTGTATGCCGTATTTTTTTGACGAATCTATTCCTTAAAATCCTGTATTCTAGCCAGTCATTTACCAAATTACTTTTCTGAGCACATGCCCAAGCCTTGTCCCTAGTTTTCGTGAGCTTTGTAATCAAAGGATCATACCATGGTGGGTGGTTGCCTTTAGTTTTAAATCTAACCAACGGAGCATGTTTGTTAAGAATTTGGAGAAACGT